TACCGCAACGAATGAGCGACGCTCGAGAACTGACAAGAGAGCGAGAGTTGAACGACGACGACCGTAGACTGGCTATCGATAGTAGTTGAATGTGCTGTCGACGGCGGCATCGGCAGCGACAGCGACGCTGACGTCGACGCCAGTTGTTATCGAAGTGAACCCCCAGAAGCCGTCGCAGTCGCCATGTCTGTTTTGTTGTTGTTGTTGTTGGTGTTGTTGGTGTTGCTGTTGTTGTACGTATGTCGTTTAAATTAAAACTCGGAATTTGGCTGAAACCAGTTGAGTGCACGCACACACACATACACAGACTCAAGCACAGGCACGATCAGCACACACACATACACACACAGTTTGTGTGTTGTTGACGCCTTTGCGTCTTTGCTGTGATTCGTGCGTTGGTTCGATTCGTTTTAATAGAATGGTTGTAATAACAATCACACACATACATACAATACACATTTCACACACTCACACATGAGAAGCTAACCAACTGCATTGAGCTTCTATACGATCTAATTGCTCGCTCACATGCTACAGCAACAGTAACAACTACAACAACAACAACAACGCGGAGAACACTGAAACAAGTCTTACTCGAGCCTTCAATTTACGATCCACTGACTATATAATACCCGTGCCCTGCAGCCTCAAAACAATTAACGACACATTCAATTTTATTGAAAGTAACAACAAAGCCAATTTTTTGCAGTTTTTAATCTATAAACGACAGAGAGAGATGGCGAGAGTGAGGGAGCGAGAAAACATGCAAACATAAATATGGCTAATAAATAATAGGCAAATTAACACTTGAGTCTTACAATATGAATATTGAAAGTTTCCCACACAATTGCAAGTTGAAAAGGGGATTTACTATTATCTATATATTATACATATTTATGAATATACTAATGTATTTTTAAGGTATGACTTAATAGTTAGGGTATGATTCACATGAAGAAAAATTTAAAGAAATTAGGAAATATATTTTGGCTTCTATTAAGTTTAGTTCAATAATATATGTTCCCAAATTTATCAAGTGCGTATATTTAAAACATTAAAGAATATATAATTAT